CGAATTCCAAGCTCCATAGAAAATTTGGCGAATCAAACGGAGCGTTAGTTCATTTGCATAGACTCCAGCACTATAGACTTTTTCTCCACTTCATTGTCGGGAATCTCAATCCCTCAACCTACGGTTTGAATTAAGCTGTTGAATTGGAAGTCAATGATTGAATGATAGTCTAATTGTTCATATTGAAAATGATGCATTGGACAAAGTTGATACCCATGTAATTATATAATAATGAAAACGTACACTACTAAAAAATAGCTTTTTACTTACGGAAAATTACCAACGGATGGTAATTAGAAACGGATGATCTGTTGGTAAAAGTTACTCACTTTCAGCTACGATAATCAGCAACGAATTTTTCGCTGGTAACGATGATATCTCTTTACCAACGAATATTTTGTGCCTCATGTAATCATTTAACATTTGGATCTTTCACCTACGGAATATCTGTAGGTGATATACCGAATATTACCAACGGATGAAATCCGTTGATAATTAAAAACGGATTATCCATTGGTAAAAGTAATTTACTTTCAACTATGATAATTAGCAACGGATTTTCCATTGGTAATAATAATATCTCTTTATTGACGGATATTTCGTGCCTCATGTAATCGTTTAACATTTGGATATTTCACCTACGAATATTCCATTGGTAAAGTTAATTCACTTATCTCACATCGAAAGTTCACAACAACATCTTCACAGTTGTTCTCTATAAATTAATTTGTGGTCCAATAAGTGGTTAAACAATATTTTGGACTTTCAATTCGATTGGTTAAAAGTTAAAAAAATTAGAATTATTAAATAAATAATAATAACAATAATAAAAATTAAATAATTTTTTTTTACCATGCCTCACACCTATGCAATTATTTACAACATTGATTTTTTCCAATTGTAATGGTGAACATTTACCAACAGAAAGTCGGTTGGTATTGGTTAAGATTTTTACCAACGAAAATTTCGTTGGTAAAAAAGATTCATACTTTATCAACGAAAAATTCGTTGGTAAAATGTTTACTCTTTACTTACAGTAGGATCCGTTAGTAAGTATCAGCGACTCTCAAATTAACAACGAATTTGCGGTTGCAAATATTACGTTGGTAAAGAGTAATAGCAACGGATATCTAGGTTTCAGGAACGAAAAATCCGTGTCTGAAGCCATGTTTTTTAGTAGTGGTGTATGCAATTTTTTTTGTAGTGCATTGAATTATTTTCATGTATGTTATGTTACTCAAAAATTTTAACTTAATCTTTGCCCCACAACGAAGAATGTCTAGCTCCGACAAAGGTTTGAAATGTTGTTACTTAAAAAGTTTTAACTTAATTTTTGTCCCCACAATAAAGAATGTCTGGCTCCGACAAAGCCTTGATCGTCACACTATGACATAGGTATTGAAGGGAGTCTAATGCCAACACATATTCATTCCTAGTTATTTCCAATGCTGATTGAACCAAAGTTCCGTATTTTGAATTAGGCTATGAGAGCATTTCGTCGGTGAGACGGATGGTTCGACGCTTTACTTATTTGATGACCAAAATATAAGATATTAACTATAGTGAATATATACTTTTAAATAAATTTTTTTATCATCTATCAAGCAAATCCAATTAGAATTAGATTTTGAATAATCAACCAGTCTCACTAATTCATTTTATTTAAGATGCAAACTTATATTAATTGATCCCTCTAACTATTTGGTCAATAACACTATGATTCAACAATTATGAACATAATTTTTTTTTAACTTTGTAAATAATATTACATCGTGTGTATCTCAAGCATTGGAGTGCCCCTATAACATGGCCCTTTACAAGTTTCAAGATATCTCGAAGACAATTCTCGAAGTACCGAAAATCTTAACCAACTCGTCAGAATCGTAGAAATTACGTGAAATCATGGTTATAAACAAATTCATACCACTTGGACTCTTTATGGAAACATCACTAACAATTTACTTTATCATTATAGACAAAAGAACAGGATCCCATTTTGACCCAAATAAAAGGAAAAACAAAAAAGAAGATTCCAAAGAGTTTGATTTAGTTGGTTCCACATAAAACTTTATTCATAATAGTAATTAATAATAAAAGTTGAAGGGCTGATCTAGACAGTAGTTATTTGAGGAGTTAATTCAATGGGGTAGTTACCAAGCAGCGTTATGTAGGTCAGGTCATCTCATGGAAAATGTCATGACTCGAAGGCCAAAATCATATTTTGACTTAAAGGGATATCATATAGTTGAATGAAATCGAACTCGAGCTTGTTTGACAATCATTACTGTTGAAAAAAAAAAAAAGAGTTTTGAATAGTGATTTTTAGGAGAATGTATGGTTAAAAATAGAGATAAATTTTTAGTATTTTTAAAGAATATTTAATTGTGTGAATATTTGATTAAAAATGATCTTATAATAAAAAATTAAATAAATTAATGGGTGTCAATCAGTCACTCAAAACAAACTATTCTTGTGCAAGGGGTTGCCATCATTCAATGGTCAAATGGGTAATTATTGAGATAATTTGTTGAGAGGAATGAGGGTATGGATGACTAGCATACCAATATGCAATATAAACATAATTTTAGATTATTTTCTTTTATTAATGTTTTTTTTCCTACTTTCTGATATGATAATTTGGTAATTTCTTATATAATTGGATTCTATCATGTTGCATATATAAGATTATCTGGAAAAAGAGAGTTATGAAATGAAAAAGAAAAAAAATGACTTTTCTCGATTATGTATTTATGTGTCCAACTTTTAGTATCAATACGAATAATCGAGCTCAGATAGTTTTTTTAAGATTCACATGTGAATTAACAGGAGTTAAGAAGTTTGTAAATTTCGTGTTGTATGCAACCGTACTTCCTTCCCTACATCACTATACCACCTTGTATATTCTTGTGATTTTATGACATCTTTGAAATTGAATTTAATGAGATATTGCGGTGGTAACACAACAATCACAAGAATATCCAAAATCAATGGTGTGATGATATTTTCCTTTGTAGCCCTATCCCATTATCGAAAGATATGTATTGACATTGTAGACTTCAGTATTTACATTTAACATGAAATAAATAAATTTTTAGAAAAAAAAATAGCTTTTGTGATATATTTCTAGTATGCACGAGTACTTATAATAGGTAAGCCTCCATTTTAAACGAATTTTTATAAATAGATTAATTTATAAATAGATAGGATTGTGGGTGAATAAGCGTTAAGTACTTATGAATATATTGAATGTGATGTTGAAAATAAAATTTAATTATTTATAATAGTTTATACGTTTTTACTGAATTGAGGCTTAAATTAATTAATAAATTATCAATCCTATTAAAAACTGTTATTTATAGAACAATTTGAATTACTTTAAACACGTTCCATACTTCCATCCTTAAGATTCCATGCAAGTGACAAAAGCAGTGACATATTACGTACACATCCTATTGCTCCACGTGTTCATTTAATCAGTCTTTAACTTTCGGTCACAACATATTTATTTTATTTTATTATTATTATTATTATTTTTATCTCAATCTAGTCAATAACCCCTGTTTGACAAACATTAACCTCCGTTTGGCCCTATTCTCATTTTTTCTCTCTTATTTTCCACTACACAATTTTTCATAAAATAATATTACACATAAATAAAAAAATTTCATTCTTTTTCAATTATACATTTTTCAAAAAAATACTATTCCAACCATTAAAATTTGGATAGAATCGGGGGCCAAACGGGGGCTAATTGTAAAAAAACATAGTTTTGAATAGTATTTTTTAGAAGAATGTGTAGTTAAAAAAATAGAGAAAATTTCTAAGTTTACATGTAAAATATTTTATTACGTGAATGTGTGTTGAAAATGAACATTTAGAAAAAAGAATTTGAAAAGACTAATTGTCTAACAGGGAATAAATTTTAAGTAAGTTCACATTTATAGCCTGTTTGAGCCACATTATAATGAGAAATAGAGCCATTATGGGTCCCACACCAGAGATAGAAATTTAAAAATGGTGGCTTGATGTGATGGATAACGGTCATATTTTTCATTTTAATGAGGTAAAAATGTGGCTCAAACAGAGGCTTAATCATTAATTACATGCCGGTACCATGGCTCTCCAAAATGATAGAAATCGCTTAATTGACAATTATATCATAATTGATCACATGACAATTTTAATGAATAATGCTATCTAGCATCAGTCTTTGTGATATGCTCAATTAAATGTAAAATTATATAATTCATTTAATTGTAAATTTCATTTAATGACACTTAATGACAACCTATACTGATATTGTAAAATCAATGAATGTAAATAGCATTACTCAATTTGAATAATGCTATTTGTACATAATGAATTATACAATGATTTACATATAAATGAATAATCCAAAAGGGAGTAGTGATTTTTTTTTTTTTTAACACAATCATATCTCATCATTATGTATATGTAAATTATTATGTACGCGTAGGACAATCGAATCAATTTTACCATCTATTTCTCTCATTCTCGGCCTCTTTGGCTGCGGTCAGCCCCCCGTGGAGCTAGTCTTCACCCCCACGCAACCCGTTCCCGCGGCGGCACAACAGGGAAAAATGAATTAATGCAGGGGCCCACATGTGCAAATGATCTTACACGCAAATCCATGTATATATAGACATAAATGTTCCATTTCTTTGTCTCCAAGCAGCCTTTGAGCGTTGGGAAAATTGAACTCAACTGTGAAAAGTTTAAAGAAATTCTATAGTGAATGGCGGACGGTGGTGATCAAAATCATCAGAAGTTGGAAATGCCGGTGGGATTCAGGTTCCATCCAACCGATGAGGAGCTGGTGGTGCATTACCTGTGCCGGAAATGTGCGGGGCAACCGATTGATGTTCCGATTGTAGCTGAGATTGATCTCTACAAGTTTAATCCTTGGGACCTTCCAGGTTATTTTTTGACCAGGGGAAAAAAAAAAAAAAAAGGGTCTCTTTAGTGTCTGGTGCTTATGTAATTATAAGCTCAAAAGATAAGTGAAAAGTTTGATTTATTTGATTGAACAGGTATGGCACTGTATGGTGAAAAGGAGTGGTACTTCTTTTCTCCAAGAGATCGGAAGTACCCGAATGGTTCTCGGCCGAACAGGACAGCAGGAGTTGGACACTGGAAGGCCACCGGAGCAGATAAACCTGTGGGAAAGCCAAAGCCCCTGGGAATAAAGAAGGCTCTCGTTTTTTATGCCGGAAAACCTCTTAAAGGAGTCAAAACCAATTGGATTATGCATGAGTATCGCTTAGCTAATGTGGACAGATCTGCTGGCAAAAGGAACAATTCGAGGGTGCGTAGTTAATCTTTACTGTTTTTTGATGGATTCGACACTACAATGAATAAGATTTTAACAATTTTTCGTCCCTTTGAATAGTCGATTCTCTAAACCGCACAATCTTCTATTCCATCATTCTGTTTTTCTCTCCTGCAGCTTGATGATTGGGTATTGTGTCGACTGTACAACAAGAAAGGTACTATTGAAAAGTATTACACGGTTGATCAGAAGACACTGCAGTTTTCAGATAGCGAAGAACAAAAGCCGAAAATAGGCACATCCCCATATACGGGATTAGTAAACCAGATGGTGCCACTGGTTCAAGAATCAGAATCGATGTCGTTACAAAAGATGAGTGACTCTCTGCATTTCGACGCATTCGAGTTAATACCTGAGTTGCACAATGATTCAAGTAGTTCGGAGCACGTGTTATCACCGGAGTTCACGTGTGACAAGGAGGTCGTAAGTGAACTGAAATGGAGCAATTTCGAGAATTCCCTCGAATATCAGCTTAATCACACGGACAGCTTTCAAGATCACGATTTTGCTTCGCAAGTGCAGTACGACGACCAGCTCTCTCTGTTTCAAGACATGATAATGTACATGCAAGAGCCTTCTGAGTTCTGATTGTGGGATCAAATTGCTTTGATTTTGATCTTGAGATTATATTATTAGGTATAATTATAAGCCATGTTATTCATTATTTGCAAGGTGAAATCCAAAACCTTTATTCTCTTTTCCGCCTCCTAATGAAAAGAAAGGAGGTCTGGCCATTTAGAAAGCAATGAGATATATTCAGAACACCCATTAATTGAAACGAATACTGGATTTGAGCAATGTTGTGAACACAACTCGCAGAAGTGAAAAAAAAAATGTTATTATTTGATCAAATTCTACACTTTTGAGCAACCTTGAGCTCTTACACATTACATCAAATATGCACACATGCAGACTGTTAAGACTTAGAGTTACGTTTTAAAAGGTCAACCTTATTAAGAGGAGTAGTTCAAGAACTTATAAGTTGGTCTATGTTTTCATTTTTATTTGATGTGAGATTTTATCTCTTAATATGCCATTGCAAAATGGTGGCTCGTTTGAACAGATCAATTTTAAAATCAGTGTGCTCATTTTTTTGAATCTTAATCGGATCGAATTGCTAGTTGAAATTTAATGGACTCTAATATCATGTTAAGAATTTGGATTCTAACTTAAACGGTCAATCTTGTTAAGAGAAGTAGTCCAAAAACTTATAAGATAGCCTATGTTTTCATCTCTATTTATCCCTTAACACGGATAATACTTAGTATTAGGAACTACAATATTGACTAGTCAAATTTTTGGGACGTGACAGGAAGATAGCCTTGTGGTTGCTTAGAGTCAAATAAATATATCAGAGATGGAATTTATGGTGTTATCCATTGGGGGAGCTGAAGATGAAAATGATAAAACTCATTGTGCCATACATTTGAGTTGAATCGGTACCGAAATAAGGATTACCAAATTGTAGTTGTGTTTGAGATCTACTAACAAGCCCATGCTTGGCCATACATTTGAGGTAATGACGGTTGAGATCGGTATTACCGATACCCTTTCGCCATTTCAATTGTATTTGGTAGTATTCACACACTACTTTACACTCTTTAACTCTGTCGACCGTACGACTGTTGAAATCAATTTAAAGAGCTCATAACATTTTGGAGCTTTTTTACCCTTTCGCTCCCTTCTTGTATCACAAATTTCTTGTTTCAATTTGACAGCATCTATAATGCCTCGAATGCTAGTAACCCAATGCCTTACCAAACGTGAATTTCTTAACATGCTTAAGTAAATAATTTCGATATAATGGGCATATTCAATAAAAATTGATAACCTTGAATAAAAAATAAATTTAATTTCTTAAAATTCGTGGAATGTTTTCGATCTTATCATTCATCAAAATATTAATAAAACTAGTTTTAACCTGAAATTGAAATTGAACTAATTGAAATCATAATGTTACTCAAGACCAAGTATAATACTAGAAAGAAATAATCAAACGCTTTTAGAAATTTTAACATCTAAAAATTAAAGTACTTCATGAAGAGGATCCGCTAGTTTAACAGCACGTCCATCCATCATGCTAGTTTTCACCTGAAATTTATAAACAAAGCGGGATGAATATAATAAATTATACTCAATGAGAAGTTTGATACTTCACATTCAAATCGAACATGAAATTATGCATAAACTCTCTTATCAACATAAAATAAGAATTATCACACCATAAAAGATGATGATTCTAGCAAGCTACAAAATAATGTGAAAGCTAACTAATATCCTATGATCTGCAGTAAATTTTATCATGATTTCTTCTGAAAGAGCCCTAAATTGAAGTAATTAAATTAATACTTAACAACAGATTTGAAAAAAATGTGGAAAACCTATTAATATTAATAGCACTGAGCACCTCACCTTTTAAATATGAATTTAAAGAACAAAATTGTGGGAAACTGAAAATCGAGATTCTTTAAGACAATCCAAAGACTATAAATGATGTTTTTTTTTTATTTTTTATTTTTGCAAAAATAATGTTGTGCGCAATAGAAAGACAAAAAAAGATATAGGCAATTGGCTATGGAGAATAGTTTATTGGAAAAAAAAATCACATCAATTTTTTTCCTCCAATATCATGTCTTACATAGTGGGATGGTAATTTGAACCGTCAAAATCGAAAATCGTGGTTAACCAACGGGACGAATCGAACTGATGGTGCAATGAAATGGATATTTGATTTTAGTGACCCGGTTCGAGGCGGGCCGGGTATGGTATTTGCACTGTCATCCCACCTTGAATCGATTACCCGTTAAAAAAAATTGGGCAATTGAACTTTCTATTATTATTTCTATTATATTTTGTCTAGTCCAAAATTTATGGCTCATTACCGACCCATTAAGTAACCTAACACAGTTACCACTTACACACTAAGTACCAACCCTACCACAAAGAAAATTGGACTCAAATTCAACAAGACATTAGCCGACAGTCGCCTTCACTCGAATCTCTGCAGTGCGTCCCTAAAATTTTTCTTTTCCACACCGTACTCTATCTTGCTCGCCATCACTAGCCCTAAATAGGGGAGTATTTTTCTTCGTCTTCTTGTTTGTAAGACTCGATGGATCTCCACGTATCTAATGATTTATGCTTCTTTACTTTACAAAGAACTTTTTTCATTGTCTAAGGCAAAGAGAGCCTTAATACAAAAGTGTACCCAATGAGAGTGATTGGAACTTGGCTACGGAGATTTGTGATAAGTTGGAGAGATTTTATGAAGCGATTAAATTATTTTCAGGTACAAAATATTCTACTGTCATTCTGTACTTTCCAAATATTTGTGACATAAAGTTGGCAATTTGTGATTTTGCATTTGAGAATTGAGATATTGTTTGCATTTTCATTTGAGATGTTGTTTGCTACATTGGCTTAATATTATGTTTTTTGTTTTCATTGGCCTTTTTTCTTAAGTTGTTTTTTTTTTTAATTTCACAGTTGGATCTATAAAAAATAATTTATTTTCGTGATTATTAATGACTCGAACTGAGCCGAAACAGAGATATGAACCGAATCGAGCCGAAACTGGACCGACTTAAGTGGTTATGATATGGCTAACAAATTGGTGGTTCGGTGATGATTTTGGCTGAATCGACGCTGAACCGAAACGTTGCCAACCATAAAAACATGATGGATAAACATAAAAGTCCCCTAACAACTAATCTTTTATGCATACTAATCAGATATTAGTTATAAGCTATGTCAATTATATAATAGAATACAATTTATATCCTTATCAAATGTATATCTATATACGTGATCCAGTGAAAATGGAGTCCTAATATGAATTACTAACTGGATTTGAACGGGATTAATGTTAATTTATTTATACTAAAATAGGAAAAAGAATTTGTTATCACCTGGTTAGCATAAAAAATAATAAAAATAAAATAACAATCCTATTTTGAATTAAAAAACAATGGCCGAATTTGTAACTGATCAATTTTAGGGAAGAAATTCATTTAGACCTTGTCTGGGAGCAATTATTATAGAATTTTAAGCATTAATATAACCGCTATACATCATCTGATCCTTGAAATTCTGACATGAATTGCTTTCCTTTCTCTGATTTATGCATGATTTACTACTTTAATACCCGTTTATAAAAATTTCACCTTCCCTCTACACCATTGTACAAAGGGTATTTTTAGTAATATCTTACCTGCAGCTTCAGTCAATTCTGGTAGCTCTCTGATACCATATACTGTATAACTGTTGAATTTTTTTTCTTTTTAATATTAAAATTTAGTAAAAGAATGCCTAGACAGGCACTTAATTACAATTAATATTATTAGCTAAGTAGTTTTCTTAATTGACTCTAAACTCAAGTTTGGTTTATCCAAATTAAATATTTCTTGAGCCTACACTTCGTAATTTATTGGGAGCTTCAAAATGGGCCCAATATTGATGGTGTAATTCTAACTTTTTCAATAGTTAACTACATGGCCGAATTAAATAAAAGTATAAAATCTAATACTTATTTCTATATTAGTCCATCAACTATTAAGAAAAAATCATATAAATCTAATTAATTATTGGGCATAATAAATTGACTTGCATAACGACTTGGCTAGACATGACATTTCTATCAATTGACAATTAAATTGTATGCAATAAAACTCATTAAATTTGGGTTCTACAACATCTTCATCGATGTTATCCAAATCAATTAGATTATACTTTAGTGAGCATCATCAATATCCATTCTAGGGAAATCGTCGGGAATGGAGATGTTGTTGAGACTGGCAAATTCATTGTGAAATTGAGATTGTGGCGTCATAGGTAAATGGCCACCGAACAAGCCCTCAACAAAAGTATTAGGACCCATGTGTATGTAATAGAATATAAATGTATAAAGATGAAATAGAACTATAGTAGAGAATGTAATTTGAATGATGATGAAAAGTCGACCAAGAAGAAAGAAGGCTTCATCTGTTCCAAATGAATGTAATAGAATATGTATGTGTATGTAATATAGTGTATGTAATGAAATTGAAAGTAATTTGATATTTTAATTGTAGAGAAAATGTAGAAGTATTTATAGAGTTAAAAAATAAATAATTTTTCAGTATCGTTGCAGGACCCCAATGGTCAAATATAAAGTTTAGTGAACATTTTGGGACCTGAATGATCACAAAACTTGCAAAAAGTGACTATTTGGTTTCTTTTTGTTACCATTAGACTCGGCGAGCCACAAACTTGGCCGAGCATCAGCTCATGGGCGAGCCATAATTTGCTCGCCTAAAATGGTGAGCCAAGCCTCGCTCAGCTCACGAGTGCTCGTCGTGAAACAACACCGAGCCTAATGGGCAAAGTCACAATGTGCTGATGAGCTACTCGACCTTTTTGCCACCTCTAGTCCTAATGTGGTTGTGAATCCATTACAACATATTCTTGTTTTTCGTGTTCAATTCGATGTGACTAGTTTGATGCACATTTTTACTATTATGAAAGAAAATATTAAAAGTCTACGACTACGAAAATGTATTGAAAAGCTATGAGCTTATTGAAATAATAAATAGATATAGAACATAACCTAATAAAACACTCAAATATTTTGGGGACATATTTTTTTATGATAATAAAAAATGAGAATTCAAATGTCGCTTTTCATTTTTTGGGATTGTGTTTTAGCAGAGATACAAGTGAGGTAAAAAATATGTATAATAAAGCTTAAATTATGAAAGTTTTAATCTTTATATTTGGAATTATTTTCAGAAAGAATTAATTTGCATAATTGGATAAATGTGCATATTTATATTCTTATTGCACATTTATGGAATCA